TGTACCACAAGGTTTAAGATAAAATAGAGCAGTACCTCACCCTATATCTCCCTACACTGAGTCTTGCCTTCCAGAGGTAAAAATGTTTAATATTTTCTAGATGTTTATTCCTGTATTTACCTGAAGATACTGAAATGATAGCCCCTTATATTCCTCCTAATACTGAACATGTGGGAAAAAAGAAGTATGACATGAAGTACTTGGGAAAGAAATAGTATTCAAGTCTTCCCTTCCCTCTACTCATATATGGATACATATCTCATTCCAGAAGGAAGAAACTCGTGGCAAAAATCTCAGAAAGAATAAGCAGTCACGTGCCAAGCCAGGGCTCTGGACAGTAATATCATCATCTCCCATCTTTTATAGTTGGCTCTTTGGGCACTTCTGATGAGATGCAGTGGCTCCAGAAGACGCAGAAACACTTACTGTAAAGGCATGCCTCACTACTAATCTCAACGTATTCCTATTCACAGGTCTTTTTCAGCATTATCCAAATTCAGTCAGTTTGCCTTGGTGCTGGCAGTCTTTGGGTAACAGAGTTGGGGCTTAGGCTCCACCAAAACAATCCTTTTCTCATTTTAGTACATTGGTTCATAAACTTCATTGCACATCAGAACAATCTAGGGAGCTTCATAAAAATGCAGCTTTCTGGGACTTGCCTGCACAGACTGCAGTTCATCGGGTCTGTAGAGAAGACTGAGGAGTCTGATTTTATAGCATACTTAAGGCGATTCCGATACTGGGGGATCTAGAACACTCTTTGCAAAAATGGATCTAGCATCTCATAGAGTAAACTGAAAAAATATTCACATAAAATGAATATATATATATGCCCATGTGTCATATCCATTTACATAAGACTTATAAATACCTAATATTATTGATGTAGTACTTTCACTTGTACATGAGGCATTTGTTGGCAGACGTTCTTAGTAATCCAGTAGTTTTTAACCATGGTGGCATGATGCAATGGTGTGTTACAATCAAGTTTTGGGCGTACGGAAAACATTTGTTGTTAATGACATTTCAAGTCAGCTGGTTTTAACAAATAAATTAGGGTGATTACAGGTTATCCATATAATAATGGCATTTTCATAAATTTTCACATGCTTTACCCAATAGAAGAGGAAGAAGTTGAGCCAGAGCCATAATGCTTCAGGAATAGCACGATATACTTTGAGGGCCCTGGCCGGTCACTGCTATTTCTAACTGTATCTTTAGGAGCAATGTAATGATGAATTGTATTGATTTACTTCCACAGAAATATTGTATTTTGTTTTCACAAAAATCTGTGTCAAGTATGAATGTTAGTCATACATGTCAATGTCATTGGTTATATGTTAACTTTTACTGATATGGAGAAGAATAAGAAATGTAGCAGAGGAGTTGTAGGCATTTTGAAACTGTTGAAATTCACTGCTTAACAAAGTAATACCAATAATAAAATACAAAACCGTGGCTTTGAAATTCTCATATCTAAAACAGAGCACATAGGATATGGATGGCATCATTTTTTTTTTTTTTCAACAGAGGGGAGGGATATGTGCAAACAATATTTGGTTTACAGTCTCCTTAAGTAATCAATAAGACAATGGATTTTCTTTTCCACTCTCAGTCTAAAAGTCTTGATTTGATCTCTCTCTAACCAACCAATTTGTTGTTTACCAACCAAGAGTACCAAAAGTACTCTTGCCCCACCAAATTTATACCTTAAAATAAAACACACAAATTTCACAAAAACAGAAATAGGGCAGACTTGTTTTTCTTAAAGGTCCAACAAACTCTAGGATCTCTCCCCCACCCTAACCCCAAATGTCACCATCAGACCTTTGGAACAGTTCCTGTATTTGTGCTCAGAGATAGGGTACTGCTTTTCTGACGATCCTTAAATTATGAGTGATATTTTTTTCTATTACACATCACGTGTTCATCTCTTTTTGTAGAGCCTGATTGTCTTCTGAGTTCTCTTTTGTCTCACGTTTCTGTTTATATCCTCTGTCAGAGAATCTATGTGAAATTCCTCCTGAGTGTTCTCCAAACTCTTCCCCAATCCTGCTTCTTGAAAGACAACTGGAAAAATGAACAATAACCAGCAACAAATCCTAAAGATCTTTGGAAGCCTGGGCAAAGGATAGTTCAGGAAAAAGAAAAGAGACTTCAAATGCTTTGAGGTCATTAACAAAGTTGTGAAATTTGTGAGGAACATGGGAGGAAAAAAAGCCTTTTTATTATTTGCTAACATTCACAGGCTCTAATTTTTCATTTCCCTAGTTGAGCTTTAACTTAATTATAAAACAAAATCTATAGCAGCAGCCAGGCCTAGGGGTAGAGTCTGTACAACTAATCAACTTTAATTCCCTGGGTTCGATTTAATTACAAAACAACATTTGGTGCAGCTGCTAAACACTTACCAGGTGACCACATGATAATACTGCAGTAGTATTTACAAGTCTCCAGCTTTTGTTCTATTCTACCAGCCCAATAGGTTTCAGCTATCTATAAATTTGAGCAGCCTTGAGGATTTACAATAGTAAAGAATTGTCCTGATTTTATACCCCTCTGTAGTTGAGCCAGTTAAAATATTGAGTTGCACCACAACAAATTCATGACAGGAAGTAAAATTTAATGATGAAAGACATCCTGAAAAAGGACAATAATAACAAACTGAATATCAAGAGCATACTTCTTTTCCTTAATTCATTCTTCTGGGAGATAGGCGAAGTGAAACCAACTTATGTATACTGGGAGTTGCCAATGTGCATTTTAGGTTATAACATACATTACTTTTCAATATAACTAGACATACATAACTCATTCTCCTGCTTGTTTTTTAGTGTTTTAGTGTTCCATAAGGTATTTTAGGGGGTGATTACTTGTGTTACAAAATATTTTTTACCTGACACAATAAAAATTTACCACTGATATTTTTAAGATAGTTTCTCTCGTATATTTAAAATATACTGGATTTGTACTAACATCAAGAAGATCACTGAAATAAGTGAGATCTGATTTTTCATTTAATAATATTTAGGCGGAAGTTCCATGCACAAGGAACTTTTTATCTTAGTGTTTTTTGTCATCTTAGTTCACTCATATACAACTTATATGGTGTGTGGGATCCCAGTTCCTCCCAAGGTCTATAGAAGGATAAGGAAACTTATTTGAATTTAGGAAAAAAATTAGTAAGAAGTATCAGTAAGGGAGTACCAGTGATGCTGAAATAAATATGACTCATTATTTTCACAGCAACTCAGAAAGAAGATAAAATAGATTGCCATCTAATCCAAATAAAGATTTGAAGTAGATGTATAAATGCTATTCTTTTGCTTATTTTCCCCATTAGATGTCAATCTTCTTTTCTTTCCCTTTAGAGTAGAATGGGGTAAAAGCTAAAGAGAGATGTATCATAGGTAATTACATCTATGAAAAGCAGAAAATCTTAGAAAAAAGCCAGAATTCATAAAATTCATCATAAAATATCTGGAGCAATAATCCCCTTTTTCACCTTTCAACCTCAAGTGCTGGTCTGGATTTTACCTAATGCTGCCCTGCACGATGATGTTGGTCCCTGGACAAAGACAACACTGTACGTTTCAAAGTCGAAAGGCTAATTTCTCAGTACTAGCAGTGTCTGTCAGTGTCTGACCCCAGAGAGTATCTTTCTCTACTGAACAGTGACTGAGTCACAGGAGGAAACAATCCTGCTTGCTGGAAGAAAATAGGATGGAGGAATTATGACGGTTACCAGATGTTCCAATGCCCCTGAGGGGGCACCAGAATGTTTCTGCATATGCTGTAAGCAGCTTAAACTGTCAAATCAGGGGACCCTGGGGCTTGGTGCTCATGCTACTCTGATGTGCGGAGTCATAGCATTCGAGAGTTGGAAGGACCCTTAGAGATGATCTTAGTCAAAGGTTTTAAACTATGTCACAAGGAGTTCTATGTTTCCTAAGAATGACTCAGAGATTACTGAAGAGTAAGGGGATCTCCCCAAAATAGTAACAGCTCTCAAGGAAAGAGTGTAAAAATCTTACATCAGGGTAACAACAAGACAGGATATTTTATCAAACAAAAATCAGTTGTGAAAATCTAAGGTAATTCTTATGGTTTAGGAAAGGAACCTTGTGAAAAATCACCATCCCAGTAGCTCTATGACACTCCTTGTGGGGTGGGGGGTGCAGCATGTAGAAGTTGGAGGTTGATTCAGGAATCTAGGCCACAATAGGCCATGTGGCTTGGGAGTCTGGAAATTAAATTATATCCCTAAGACACAATATCAGGGCAGGAAATTAAGGCCTCTCGATTCAAGTCAACCAATTCTTACAATCCTTCTTTATGGCAAGTTTAAAATGCCCACTTAGAAAATGTTACCTTTCCAGGCTATTTTTTTTTTCTTTTAGGTAGGTTCCATGCCCAGCATGGAGCCCAACACAGGGCTTGAATTCAGGACCCTGAGATCAAGACCTGAGCTGAGATCGATCAAGAGTTGGATGCTCAACTAACTGAGTCATCCAGGTGCCCCACTATGTTATTTTAAATGGCAATGGCAATTTAATACTGTATTGCCTTGATGATGATTTAATTCTTACTCTATGTTACCTGCTTTCAAATAAAAAAGTACCTGTGATTGTTCAAAGAACCTCCTCATTGCCACAATTGGAGAGAGAGAGAGAGAGAGAGAGAGAGAGAAAGAGAGAGAGATTGAGAGACTGAGAAAAAGGGGGTAAGAAAAGAAAAAGAAAAAAAAAGAAAGAAGTAAGGAAGGAAAGAAGAAAGGAGGAAAAGAAAGAAAGAAGAAGGGAAAGAGATGGGAAGAAGGGAGAGAGGGAAAGAAAAAAGGAAGAAGGAAGGAAGGAAGAAAGGAAGAAGAAGCTATTTCTGTGTTTGTACATGGAACTCATTTTGATGAAGGGACACAAGACTTTATCATAAGCTAAGGCATATCTCCAGGGTTAAATAGACATTCATAACAGCAGGGTAGATGCACCTGCCTGACTCACCATCACTGTTGATGCACACAACCTCCTGAACTTGAGTGCCTGGGCCACACTCTTTTCCATTGTCTGGTTCACAGTCTCCAAGCCTCACTGCTTTCCATTCATAGCAGGATGGCTCTTCACAGGGAATGGCTTCCAGTAAGTGAGGGCAGTTCCCAGGGCCCCCAGAGCCTCCAATGGGCTCATTGGTAATGCGCCGCTTCCTCAGTTTGAAACCTGAATTATTGGGGAAGGACATATTTATTGTTACTGCCATGGGTTGAATATTTCCGAAGGCTGAATGAAAACTTGAGTGAAAGCTGGATGAGGGTAGAGGGTAGAAGTCAGATTTGCTTTAATCACTAGTATATCCCCAAGCTCTAGCTTAGTGTAAGCCTATTAATCATTTATTAAATGAATAAATGAATGAATGAACAGAATGGCCAAGGAGGGAAGGCAAGAAAAGTCATATGTCTCTTATCTCCTTCATAGGACTGGAGAGAGGTAGAGAGGCAGAAGCAGAGAGAGAAAGACAGACAGACAGACAAAGACACACATAAAATGATTTTGGTTGATTTGGAAAGTCTGTAGTTATAAAATATTCAAAGACACAGTGAAATCTCAAGCTATTTGGAAATATTCATGACCAGACAAAGTGGTATTACTTTGAATTTTTCAGCACTATCACATAATTAAATTTGAAAGGAAACCTCTGAGAAGTTGGATGGTCCCAGATAAATTGTCTCTTTGAGGCTTAGTTGATTTTAGATGCCCCGGAAATATGAACTAGTGAAGATATAAAGCATCTGGGCTCTAATGAGGACTCTTCAGAGTCGTGCTCTGAGCTTTAATAGCACCTAAGTGCTGCCCTTCTGGACAGGGTATACCAAAGTTAATAAGTCTGCTTATTGCTTTGTGAACATATTAGAATCACTAGCAAAATTAATAAGTCTGTTTACTGCTATGTGAACATATTAGAATCACTAGAAGACTGTCTCAGAAAGAAAATAAAATGTTTCTAATTACTAGATCATGTGAATATTACCCCATCATGCCCACTACATAGGAAACCACTGCATCTATTGTCCTCCTCTTAGATATATCATGTGCATCATAAGAGTAATAGAGCTTTTTTTTTTTTCCCCTTTCTTAACTTCAAAGTAATAGGAGTTTTTTTTTGCTTTTTGAGGACTAGCTATGGATCAGGCACTGAATTAAGTGCTTTATGCTTATTATCTCATTGAATCTTTAGAGAAAACTTTAGTAGCAGATATTACATCCCTTTTACAGATAAGGGGACAAAGATTTAGATAATTAACTTGTTTTAATGTTCAGGTACCAACATCAGAGCAGGTTTATTCATCTTTTGCAGTCGATACTCACTAGCCATTCTGGAAAATATCACGGATGAATGAATAAGCACAAGTAACAAAGACTAACAAATAAAAGTATTTGGCACACTAATGACATTATTTAAAATAATTCATGTTTGACTCAACTGATGGGAGTTTTAAGCATGTCATGTTAATAATACATACCTTTTTTGCCTTGCTGGTCATTACAGTTTTCGTAAGTACAAGGTCCCCAAGCTGACCAAGGTGAAACCTCACATTCAGTTGGACAGGGAATATGGCACAGCTGTGTAGTATTAGGGACGGGACCAGTGCATGATTTCAAGTCCACTGGTTTTGAGGCTGTTTGGAGAAAAGTACAGAAATCCCTTAAGAATTGAACAAATTGTTATGGTCAACAATACGATTTTTCTGTGTGTACGAGAAGGACAAGTGCCACTAAGACATTATTCCACTGCTTCTTAGCTACATCCTAGAAAAAAAGGAGAAGGAGTGGGGAAAAAGCAGCAGAGTGTAGTTCAAGGAAACCGGACTGAGATTCAAGGAAATCTCAGAGACTGATCACCAGCTTTATCACTTATTAGCCCGGTGATTTAATAATGCCGAGTCTAACTTTCCTAATTAGTAAAACAATCCTTAAGGTCAGTTTTATCTCTACAATTCTATATTTAGATTCTAAATAAATGGAATCTGCTTCAGAGGACTGAACACAGTGGTAGAGGGCCTACAGCTATATAGCATATGGAAAAAGTCTGCACTGGGTGGCTTCGGGTGGAGCAGTCTTCCCTTTCCTTTTGGTCCACAAAAGGGTAAGTGGTGGATATAATGAAGAGCCCATGCCACCAATGGGGTATCTCTCTCTACCCCAGCTACATGACTCACCAGATACTTTCTAGAACTTTTACAGAATATATTATCTGCATATGTGATCTAAATCTCAGAATTGCTAAGGCAACTAATTTAGAATTGTCCATGTCTGTTCATATGTTGACCAATGAACTGTGAATAAATACTGTTTGCCCTTACTTCCCTTCTTTTTTGATGTCTGAAATTCGGCTATTTTGTAGGGGACACACATTTGACACTTAATGTCAAGATGTGTCCATAGTTCTGGCTAAAAATGACTAAGAGATATTAGAAGCTATATGGAAAGCAGAAGAAATTCAAGTTTAGTGGTATATGTAAAATATAAAGCTATAGTTGTTTTTCTTGTAAAGATTTTGAGAAGTAAATGTCTTTGACATTACCTTAAATAAAAGCTAGTTGCTATTTCCATCTGATAATTTGGAATGCCTACCCTTGTAGCATAAAGGACTGAAATAATAGAGGTCTTAGATAATTCTCATTCTCTTTATGTGAAGAACTATCAAATTCCAATCACATGGGTTACATTCAGAAGCTCACAGAGAAATTAAGATATTTTAAGCTAAATTATCCTAACCTTTAAATAAATGTACTAAATATATTTTTTTACAGTTTAAACTCTAAGGCAAACTGTAGGTATTGTGCATCTCTCAACTTTCTGCGTGCACACACAATCATAAATGCTACCTGAACGCTGTTACATTAACTCCTCTTTCGAAAATAGTTTTTCAGTTCTGAAAAATATTCTACAGATTTTTTTTTTCTTTTTCTCCTAGGAGTACATAACTTAATCTCTCTCCTCTCCCCTCTCACTCCCGCCTCCCCTGCCCACCACCACTGCAGTGAAAATAAATGGGCACTCTTAGTTTGCTTAGTATGGAGCACCATAAGCATTCTCACTTAAGTTTATCGAATTGTTGCTATTGCGCATCGTAACATCAGCCACAGCACAAAATGATTACTTTTGTTGCTTTCAACAGTGAAAGTATTTGGCACACTAATGACAGAAAATACAGAAATAAATGCTTCACTTCTTTAAATATAAAAAAAATAATGATGTCAGTGATACATATTTCACATAAAATGAAAACAATTTTTAATATCTTTACAGGCTTAAGAGTCTTGTGATGGTTAATTTTATATGTCAACTTGTCTGGGCTAAGGGATGCCCACATAGCTGCTAAAATGTTTCTAGGTCTGTCTGTGAGGATGCTTCTGGAAGAGATTAGCATTTGAATCAGTAGATTAAGAAGACAGCCTTCACCAATGTGGGTGGGGCACTATCTTATCCTTTGAGAACCCAGGTAGAAATAAAAAGTGGACGAAGGGTAAAATCTCTTTTTGAGCTATGGAATCCATCTTCTCCCTGCTCTTAGACATTAGAGCTCCTGGTTCTGGAAAACCAGGAATTACACCAGTGACCCCATTCCCATAATTCTGTGAGCCAGTTCCTATAATCAATCTCCTCTTACATGATCTATACATATATCCTATTGGTCTGTTTCTCTGGAGAACCTTGACCAATGTAAGGCTACAGTATGTAGAAAAACTCCTATAACTGCAAATTAACAGAGTCTTTCACACTATCATTTAAATTAACAATTGTGTGTATTATTACCTGAAAAGTCTCCATTTTTTTCTTTTAATAGACTAAAACTAACTTAAAATTTAGTGGTGTTACATTGTTTTGGAAATTATGGTTACTACAAAGGAAAATCTACTTCTTACAAAGTCTACCTTGACCATGCAATTGTGAGGAATATATAAGGTTGAAAACTTTAGGAGGGAAACAGGTTTTATCAAAGAAACAGGTTAAAACATTGTTTCTAATACCTGGTCATTTTTTTTTAAATAAGCTTAATTTTAGCTTTTGGCATATTTTGAATGAATCAAATAGAATATTCAGTCATAAGAATCTTCTTGAGCTATTAAAAGAGAAATGTGATGAATAAAGGCTTGAGAAAATATTGCCTGAAGCAAAATACTGCTAAGCTAACCAAGTCTATACTGAGATAATAGTTATTGAAAAATAACCTCGATTTTATAGATGTCTTTATATAAATAAATATATAATTGAATATATTTGTTGTGTATGATCTATTCCTTTGGTGATTTTCACTTTAGTTTTGTTGTTATTGTTGTTGTTTGTAAATACAATATATATTGATTGATGTAAATAACCGATACTAGCTGAGCTCCTCAAAAACTCTGTCAATTCTATTTTTGCCCATGAATTATATGGAATCACTGTGATTCAATAAATGAAATAAAGGATAGTTCCAGAAGAATTTACTGGATTCTAGTTCACTCTGTGAGATATAAGGACTGTAGTACTATATTCCATAACGCAGTGTTTACTGCTGATCCCATATTCTCAAATATTGAGATTTGAATTTCTTAGAATGGTCCAGTCATTACTTTGGTATAATTATATCACTTAAGAAATTATTCATCCAGTACAAGTTTCACAGAACTTCTGTTAAACTTTTTTTAAAGTTTTATTGTTGATCTCTTGAAAATAAAGGGCACATTTTATTGTTTGCGTATGATTTAAACGGTATACAATTATTTGTACATTGCATTCTTTATGAGGTCATAAAAGAATGTCCAAACTTTTCTGGACTTAATAAAACAAACAAACAAAAAATGAGACTGGTACATTTTTGTAGGTCTGAAATATTTCTGTATTTTTATGCTTAGAGCATTACAATGGGAAAAAATATTATAGGAAGTAAACTTCAGATATTTGTTTCCAGCAATGTGCTCAGGGAGATATTCTGAAGATATACCCACTGTATAACCCCTCAGAATAGCAATATATAATTTTTAAAATTAAATGTTTCATTCTGAGATAATTATAGATTCTCATGACATTGTAACTTCACAGAGATCCTATGTATCCTTTACCCAGTTTCCGCCAATGGTCAGATCTTACAAACTTATAATGTCACAACCAGAATACTGACATTGAAACAACCAGGGTACATGTATTAGGTTGAACAGTGTCTCCCTCCCACCTCAAATTCAGTCTACTAGAATTTCACAATATGACCTATTTGGAAATAAGATTGTTGCAAATGTATTTAGTTGGTGGGGTCCCATTGGATTAGAATGAGCTTTAAATCCAGTGACTGGTGTCCTTATAAGAAGGCCATGTGAAGACATACAGAGAAGAAAGCCATGAGATATTGGAGCAATGCAGCCACTTTGTTACTAATCTTAGGGAAAGAATAGTTCAGTCTTGCACTACTAAGTACAATGTTAGCTATACATTTTTGTAGATGCCTTTTATCAAACTGAGGATGTTTCTCTTTATTCCTATTTTTCTGAGGGTTTTTATTAGCAATGGGTGTTGAATTTTGTCAAACGCTTTTTCTCCATTGACTAATATTATCGTGTGATTTTTTTTTAGCCTATAAATATGGTGAATTTTTGTTGTACTTTTTGTTGTACTGTCTTTGTCCCCTCTTCCTTTTTCTGGATAAAACTAATCTATTTCATATTGAGTAAATTACAGTAGGTTGTGTTTTTCCACTTTGATTTTTTGATTCCTTCCATTTAGTCTACATTGTCAAATTTATGTGTATAAAGTTGTGGTATTCCCTTGTTATTCTTTTGCTGGCTGTAAGGTCTACAGTGATATCCCCTGTTAAATTGACATTCCCTGATGTTAGTGATTTGTGTCTTTTCTCTTTTTACTTTATCAGCCTTGCTAGAAGCTTCAATTTTAATGGTCTGTTCAAAGAATCAGCTCTATGTTTCATTGATTTTCTCTATTGTTTTTCTGTTTTCAATTTCATTGATTTCTGTCCTTATTTTTATTATTTCCTTCCTTCTGCTGGCTTTCATCTTCTTTTGCTTTTTCCTTGGTTCTTGAACTGGGAGTGCAGATTATATTGATTTCTGTCTTAACCTCTTTTCTAATGTAAGCATTTAGTGTTAAGAATTTCCACCTCAGCACTGCTTTAGCTACGTTACACAGATTTGGTATATTTTCATTTTCATTCAGTTCAAAGTATTTTGATTTTCCTTGAGAATTCCTTCTTCCACACATGGATTATTTAAAAGTGTATCCTCTATTTTCTAAGTGTTTGACGATTTTATTGTTATCTTTCTGTGACAGAATTCTAATTTGATTCCACTTGTGTTCAGAGGACACACTCTGTATGATTTAAATACTTTTAAATTTGTTGAGGTTTGTTTTATGAATCAGAATATGGTCTATCTTATTAATAGAAGATGTATCCTATCCCTGTTGGATGGACTGCTCTATAAATGCCTACTAGATTGTGCTGAATGAGATGGTGTTCATTTCTTCTAAATCCTTGTTGATTTTCGGTCTAGTTGTTTTTTTAAGTGTTGGGAGTAGAATGTTGTCATCTCTGACTTTAATTGTGAATTTGTGTATTTCTCCTTTTCGTTCCATCAGTTTTTGTTCACATATTTTATAGTATATTGTTTAGGACATACAAATTTAG